GGGAAGAAAGAAGGTTGCCTAAAACCTAGCAACAAAGCAAGCCATGGATTCTCTGTTCTGTGAAATGCGAGGCCCTGCTGTCTAGGAATTGCCCAGATAGGGGCAGATACTAGAGTATGTTGTATCTTTTTTCTCCTGTGATTTGGTCACATGCTAAGCTGATGCCTGGAAAGTATGGTTGTGGATAGAGACATGTATTTGGAATTATTAGCAAGTTTACACAGAAGAATGAGCTTGCTGATTCTTTCTTTATCTTTTTCTTTCTTTTCTTTGTCATTCTCTCTGATTTACCTAGTTCCCTTCTTTGTTATGCTTTCTTCCCTTTCTTCTTTCTCTTCCCTCGTTTTTCCTTCCCTTCTGTTTTCCCTTTACTTCCTTCTCTTTCTTCATTATTTGCTTTTCCCTCTACCTTCCTTCTCTCCCCATCTCTCCCTTTCTTCCTTCTCCCTTCCTCTTCTTCCTTTTCTTTTTCTTTTCATATATAGCTGTGGAATATCTATCAAGTACAGTGTTCTGGAAAAGGGTTTGAATATAGTATGAAATGGTGAACATAATCCCTTTTAAACAATAATTAAACTCTTGCCATCCAATTGGATATCATAGTGCATCACTACAGTGGTTGAAGGTGAGGTCCCTTGTAAAGACTGTATGCTCCTCAAAGAAAAGCGATCCAAGATCAGACAGTGACCCTGAAAACCTATGTCATATATACATGAAAATAAGTAGTGCAACAATATTCGTAATAGTGAAACAATGGGCACGGTCTAAAAATCAGCAAGAGTATATTTAAGTAAAACGTAATATGGCACATCTATCATGTTCTATTAAATTATCATTAAAATAATAGCTGTATGAAATAATCTTATTAAGTGAAACAGCAAGATGGAAATTATTTTCATATAAGATTGCAGCAGGAACATCCTTTGGTAAAATGATGTAAACACACATACCCTAAAATGCAAAAGGGGGACTTTAAGTGTTTGGACTATGTAAGTATATGGAATTTTTTCTTCTTTTCTCCTGTTTTCTATAAAATGGCATATGATTATGGGAATAAAACTGTGAGAATGCCTTGAAACAAAATATAAACAAACGAACATTGAGAAACCTGTGGTTGAATCCTTGAGGCACAGTTTAATTGAGAAAAACATTATACCTTCCATTCATTCATGCATCATCCATTTACTTATGCAATTATTAATTCATTTCACAAATATTTTCTAAACATCCACCAACAGCCATCTAATCAGTCAGATTCTGTTAGTACAAAGGTGTACAAACAGGATTTAGGCTCCAAGACCCCCCTGGCTGGACCAAGTAGCACAGTTAGTCCTAGTGTCATCCCAATTTGCCAAGGTTTCAATTCAATCCCTGGTCAGGGACACATACAAGAATCAACCAATGAATGCCTAAATAAGTGGAACACCAAAGAATGTCGCTCTCTCTCTCCTTCTCTCTAAAATCAATAAATAAACATTAAAAATAGTAATAATAGTACTGGTAGGTTGATATCACTGAGACTGAGAAGAAGTCAGTGCCAGATAAACATTAGTCCACTTTCTGTATTATAATCATACTAGTAGCCCTGCACACAAATCCATGCACCAGTAGCTTGTTGCCGCCCTCCAGTAGCTCCCCCTGCCCCCCTAATAGCTTGCTGCCCTGCCCCCTCCTGTAGCTCTCCACTGCCAGCTTGTAGCTTGCTGCCCCAACCTCCTGCTGATTCATGATCTGGTCATTACATGGTCAGTCATTATGCTTCACAGTGTGACAACCATTTGCATATTACATCTTTATTATATAGGACTAGTATGTTTAGGATTTACAAGTGCCAGGCACTGTGTTAAAGAACTTTACCTGCATTATCTCATTAAAACCCTCACAATCATGGTCTAGCAGAGAGTTTCTGGCAATAGTTCACATTTTATAAATGAGGAAATTAGGCCTCAGAGATGTTAAACAAACTTGCCCAAGGTTACACAGCTGGTTAATACTGGAGTCTACCTTCCAATCCAAATAATTCGAGGGCCTGAGCTCCCAACGCAGGCCTCTTTTCTTCCTTCCCTTGCCCCCTCCTTCCTCTAGTTATTTTCAATATGGCATTTATCACTCTAAATTTCATTGACTGAGACTCAATGACCTGCAGCAAACATTAGTCTAAGGAACAATATTTGCACAATTTTCATATCTTAATGCAGCAACTTGAGCTTCCATAGAGATTTAAATCCCTAATGAAATTTTCCTGTCAAAATTCTTGCTGAAGGATCGTTTAATTTGCTGCTCATGATATCTTTGGAATGACTGGGTGCAGGAAACCAGCTTCCTTCCTGACACCCTCTCTCTGACACCCAACACCCTTTCTCTCTCTCTTACTTCTTCCCCACTGCTGACTGTGTGCTGTATTTAGGGAAATCCCAATTAACAGAGGATTGGAAGCGTGGGTGTGTGTTCGATTCTCCCTTAGGCAATGCAGAGGTGATCCAAAATGTGAATCTTTTGCCAATTAATTTAAAACTAATACTAAAACTTCTAATTATATGCATTTGGGGCAACGGAACCAGGCCTTGCACGGAGAGGCCCAGTGGCAGCTCTGACCAGTGTCTTCACTGTGGCCCCAGGCTGTGTCCTCAGCCCTGCTATGTCAAAAACCTATCTCTCCGCCCCCTTCATCCCCCCCAAGAATCTGTAGTTAATTCCACTCAGGAAAACATGTACACACAAGAATCAAACTTACAAAGTGCTTTGATCTTAGTTTTTAAAAAAAATATCTAAGGCATATAGCTGCCAGGTTAATGGAGCCCTCACAGCATTCAGAGTGCATCGCGATCACAGGTGGATAGCGGGCAGGGCTCCGGAGCAAGGCAGTGAGAGGAGCAAACTGTGGCCTTCAGAGGAGGAAGCCGCAGTAGCCAGGGTAGATATTGCTGAAGGCACATTTCTGCACCCTGCCTCCTGCTGCTGCCAGCCCTGCCCTGGAGAGCAGAGGTCAGCCTCCCGGCAGCCCCATGATCTTCTTGGCAATTTCTAATGCAATTACTTCAGAACCAGTCTCCTTTCCCTGCAAGCACAGGATCAACCTGTGGACCCTTGTCCTGTTTCCTCATCCTTACTGCACACACCCACCTAGGCCAGGTTCCCTCCGTAGCCTCAGAACAAAGCTAGATGGAACTCTAGGACCATGGG